TGTGCCAACCATAAATATGTTTAAGTATTTTTTTGTTTTGAAGGGGGGTAGTAGGAAGGATAAGGGGTGGTATTATTTCACCCCTAGGGTAGCAAATAGGGAGAGTAGGGCGTTGTTTACGGTGGGTCCTTCATCCATTAAAGGATGGAAGGGAAATTTCTTTTTTGTAGATGACACGGAGTGGGAGAGGGGGGATAATGAGGTGAGGGAGTTAGCATCCTGAAAGGCTAAAAGAGCCAACCAGAATAAGTTTAGCTTCAATGAGGATGAGGAGGAGGAAGTGGGGAAGTTGGTGAGGAAGGGGGGGGATCTATTAAACATCATGGACCTCACAAGCGCACCATGCATAGAAGTTGCTGAGCTCTATGGGTCAAGCGTTTTAAGTGAAGGTTTGTTTAATTTGCATTGTAGTACTGACTGTAGAATATAGAACTGTGTGATTGATATTGTGTTTTCTTGCTTTGTAACTGAAATGGACAAATTTTTGAACATCGTTGGAGGAGTGGCCATCCCCAAGAAGCCAAGGAAGAAGTCAAAGACTTCAACCAAGCAAGTGGATGAGGGGAGAGATGGGAAGGAGGTAATGCCCACTACCTCAGCTGAGGCGGAGGAGGAGGTGCCACAGTTGAAGAGGAAGGGTTGGGAGGAGAGGAGGGCACTACAGAAGAAGAAGAAGGTGGTGGAGGAGGAGGAGGAGAGGGGGAGCGAGGTTCCCCAGTTTGTACCTCAGCCTCCTCTTGTTGAGTTGGACCTTGAGCTCAGACAGTTGGAGGAGGGGGCTGAGGTATGAGCTCCCGGTAAGGGAAATGGCCCTGTTCCCTCGCTGGTGTTTCAGAGCAGCCTGTTCGAGGCGAAGAACATGATGGGGGCTAGGAGGTTCATCAACACCACCTTCCCCGAAGTGGACAAACGCAACACACGGGATGAGGCTCTGCGGTATTGTGGGGCTTAAGTGGTGAAGCACGTTTTAGAGGTATGTTGAGTTATTTGTATTTATTGGTTATTGGTGTTGTTTGTTTAATCTCTTTCTTCTTTTCTTCTTTTTCTCGTAACTTCTACTTTGAATTGCAGAGCGCGAGCTGGGTGAATGGTCTAGCCCAAGAGTTCATGGATAGCGTGAAGGAGCGCTTCCTCTTGTAGAGGCAGTGTGACCAGTTGCAGAAAGAGAATGAGGAGTTGGAGAAAAAGAATAACGAACTGCAATAGGTGCTGAATGAGCTGGTTCCAACTGTGAAACAGTTGGAGCAAGAGAGGGCTTCCCTGAGCACCAAGCTCGTCTTTGAGGAGAGCAAACGAAGGATCTCTGAAAGCGAGCGTGAGACTCAGGTGAAGGAAATAGTGTTGATGAAGGATGCTTTCATGGAGCTAAAGGAGAATGTGCAGATGTTGGTGCACAATGGGATGAAGGAGCACATCAGCAGCTTCATTAGCTTCAGCTCGTTTGACAACATTGTCAACTTGTACCGGCTGCCCACTGCCATCATTGCTTTCGCAGACTGTAAAAAGAAGGTGAAGGCTGAATATCCCGAAGTGGATATTACAAAGATCACCTTTGGCAAGCAAGAAGAAGGAGTGGAGGAGAACGGTGAGAGCATATCAGCAGACTTCCGTCCTCAAATCAAATTGAGGTGGGAGCATGATGCAGATGGACGTGCTGTGTTCCCTCCACAGTTTGACTTTGAGTTCGTTGTAGTGGAGGAAGAAGGGGCAGAGGTAGAGGAAGATGAGGTGGAGGCAGGAGTGGAAGGGACTGAAGTGGGTGAGGGCCAACGAGTTCCCGAAGTGGAGATTCATCTTGTCCCTTTTGACAATGAGCAGCTTCCTCTGCTAGACGAGCAGCAGCCAACACAGCCACCTCTTCCAGCTGAGCAGGAGCCAATGGATCCATCTCCCCCAGTAGAGAAATAATTTTGTTTTTTAATTTGTGTAAAACATTTAAACAATTTGTAATACTATTATTACTTTGAATGAAAATTCATTTTTGAAATTATATGTTGTGTTTGCTTTATATTTTTATTTTATTTTATTTTTATTTTTTTTATTAATAAAAGAACTGAGATTATTTGAGACGTGATTTGAAAGAAAGTTAACCACTTTAGAAATGAACCAAAGAGAAGTAAGTCACTTCAAACGAATTAAGAACAAGTACATCACTGCAAATGAATTGAAAGGAAATAAAGCACTTTATATGCGAAGTGACATTTATTAACAGAAGTGAGGTTCAAGGAATGAATGAACTAATTGACCTCGGATACATAGAATAAGAGATAAAATGAATCTCAACAATGACGAAGTAAAAAGTGTAAAGAACAGTAAGATATCGATCACTTGAAAGGATTTTATTAGGGGTAAAATTTCTTCAAGTTATTGACATTCCAGACTCTATGAATTCTCTTTCCTTCAGCATGTTGGAAGACATAGGCACCAGGATGTAGCACCTCGGCCACGGTATAAGGGCCTTCCCAATTCGGGGTGAGTTTGCCAAAACGAGTTTCAAACCTTGTTAGGCCAGCTTTTCTGAGAACAAGGTCTCCTACTTTGAATGTTTGAGGGTGGACTCGTTTATTGTAGAAGTTGGCTAGTTTCTGCTTGTATACAAGAGTTCGAAGCTGTGCTTCTTCTCTGACTTCGGCAAGCAGATCAAGGTTTTTCCGAAGTAGTAGTCCATTTCGTCCTTCATCGAAATGGGTGACCCGGAAGCTTGGGACTCCTATTTCAATAGGAATGATTGCTTTAGTACCAAAGGCGAGATGATAAGGTGTTTCACCTATTTTAGTTAATTATAACTTTAGAATGCACTTTATGCATTATGCATATTTGCTCTAAGGTAAGGCCGTAATAGAAGAAGTAAAATAATATAGAAATCAATCAAATAGACCAGGTTTGAAGTAATACCTGTGGCAGTTCGGCCCGTGGTTTTGTATGCCCAGAGGACGTTGTTGAGCTTGTCTGCCCATTTGGCCTTATGCTGTTCCAACCTCAGCTTTATACCTTCTAAAATGCATTTGTTAATAGATTCAACCATGCCATTGGACTCCAGATGGTAAACGGAGGTGAACTGCAATTTGATCCCATAACTGGAACAGAAATCTTGGAATGAGGAGCAATTGAATTGAGTTCCATTATCAGCCACAATCTGATTCGGGATCCCATATCTGCAGATGATCGAGCTGAAAACAAAGTCTTCGACCTTCTTGGAGGTAAGACTAGATAACGGCCGAGCTTCAACCCACTTTGTGAAATAAACCACACCAACAACCAGATGGGTTACACCACCAACCCCTGTCACGAACGGGCCTAAAAGATCCAGTCCCCACTAAGCAAATGGCCATGGTGCTACCAAGTTCGTGAGCTCTTCTGCTGGTTGGTGAGTCAGATGTGCAAAGAATTGACATTTTGGGCATTTCTAAACAAAGTGAGTGGCATCTTTGTACATGTTTGGCTAGTAATACCCCTGCCTTAAGACTTTGTGAGCCAGAGTTATGTACCAAAGTGGCTCCCACAGACACCTTCATGTACCTCCCAAAGTGTATACTCAGCTTCATAGAGGTTTAAACACCATAGAAGAGAGAGTGAGAAAGATCTCTTATAAAGGACCCCATCAACGAGTGTATACCGAGATGCTCTCTTCCTCAACTTCATTGCTTCCTGCCTGTCCTCAGGTACTATCCCATCTCGCAAAAAGGAGATAATTGAGTCAGTCTAGCTCGGCGTGTTAGGGTCTGTGCTAATCTCCATCATCCGTGGCTTCATGAAGCTTGGTTCGTCAAAGACCTCCACAAAAACTGATCTGGAACTGAAAGAGCTATCAGAGGCAAATTTAGAGAGTGAATATGCCTGTTCATTCTCAATTCAGGGAATTTTTCTCAGACAGAATTTCTGGAATTTGCATTTCAGCTCAGCCACCAGGGCTACATATTTCACCATCACAGGATCAACGACTTTGCAAATTGAGTTGATTTGGTTCACCATCAGCTGGGAGTCATTGTATACTTGAATCGCACTGATTTTCAATTCCAATGCTAGCTATAGACCAAGCAGCAGAGCTTGATACTCAGCCATATTGTTTGTTGCATCGAAGTTGAATTTCAGGGCATGTTCACTTCGATATCCATCTGGACCAATCAAGAGAGCGCTATGTCACAAACCGCGAGCTCGGACGCCTAAGGGAAGGGTCCCAGCGCCAGGGTCGCGGTGCAACGTCGCGGGCTCGATG